CTACTGCGAGGAGGGAGAGGGAGGCAAGGGGGAGGGAGAGGGGGGGGACGGGGGAGGGGAGTGTGATGCGGGTACGGGGGCGAGCGGGCATGGAGGGGGAGAGGAAGAGCAAGGGCGAGAGGGGGCAGGGGACGGGTCAATGGCATACTAGGGGGGGCAGGGTGGCGGGCGGCGATCGCCGCATACCGTTCTATGGGGGCGAGTACCGCGCTACCCCAGGGAGGACAAGGACGTCGACGTGCAGCTGCAGCTGCTGTTCGAGTCGTTCGGTGGGTTCGGGAAGGGGGTCGGCGAGATCCTCCGGAAGGCGGCGGACGTGCTACAGAACAAGCTGACGCGGGCCCAGTACCTCGATGAGGTGACTTTTGGTTCCACTAAGAATTGGCTGGGGCTGCAGAAGCAGCGTATCTCAGTCGTTCTTCACACGGCAATCGCAGAGCAGGTCGTGAATGAGCTTGCCTGTGGCGGGGGTGGGCGGGTGCACGGAGCTAAGTGCCTCGCCACCCTCGCAGGAGTCGCTTAGGCGGCTCCCGTGGTGTACCTGTGTTAGTGCCAGTGCGCGCCAGTCCCGTGCCCAGTGTTGTGCGAGGGAGCTTTGTTGTAAAATTCTTTCCAGAGGGCCAGGAAGCCGTCGGGCGATGGTGGCGGCGCGCTCTACCATCTGGTCGGTCGTGTAGCGCGGCGAGCCGCTCGGCCGGCAGGTGACGAGGATCGTCGAGGCGACGACGAAGATGGCACCTCGGGCGCCGTCTTCGGTGCCGGGCGCGTTGGGGTTGCCGCCGAAGGCCTTCATCCCGAACTCGAGCACTGAGCGGATCTTTGCACGGTACTCCTTGCTGTCGGTCGGGGAAGCGGGAAGTCCTGGCCCCTTTTAGGTGAAGACGCTTGAAGTTCTTGAGGAGCGACATGGAGAAGTCGCTGTCGGCGCGCGAGAAGGCGGTGTCGATGTTGCACCCGCCCATCTCGGTCGGCAGCTGCGCCTGGAGCCACGCGAGGTCGCGGAGCGCCTGGGGCGAGGCGTCGGCGCGAGCAATGCTCTCAAAGGACTTGCGGATGCGGTTGTGCGCAAACTCGAGAGCGTCGCACGCGACATTGGGCGGCGTGATGCCGGCAATGTACTTGGTCTTTGCGCAGGCAATCCGTTGGACGAGGTTGAGGCGGAGCTGCGAGGTGTTCGTGACGCAGTCAGTGTCGACGATCGTGTCTTTTGTTTGTTTGGGAGGACGGCACGCCGCCACACAGTCCTGCTGAGAAATAAATAAATAAAACGGGCGCGCCAAACGAGGGGTGGGAGAAGGACAGGGTCCCCACCTGCGCGAGCAGGATCTTGTAAGGACGATCAGGGACACAGGGGAAGTCCTGCTGAGAGAGGTTTGTGGGAGCCGGCGAGAATTCTTCTTTCCTCTGAAAGGCGGCGGCCCAACATCCTCGCCATGTGGAGCGCTCTCCTCTTCTCGCTTGCCGTGTTGCGCGCGGCCGCTGCGCCCGCGCCCGAGAAGCAGGAGGCTGTCGCGGCGCGCGGCGGCTGGATGCCGTTCGCGCAGCAGGGCGCCGCCACGGGCGGTGGCTTTGCCGCGCAAGGCACCGACACCGCCTGGCGCTTCTTCACGGACCCGAACTTTGACTTCCAGAAGGAAGGGCAGGCGTACCAGGCGTCGGGCGCGGCCACTGGCAACGCGTTTGGCGGCCTCTCGCAGGGCATGATGCCCACCGCGCCGGCGGCGGCGGCGGCCGAGGCCCCGCCCGCCGAGAAGGAGGAGACTGTCGAGGGCGCCAAGGCGCGCGGCGGCTGGATGCCGTTCGCGCAGCAGGGCGCCGCCACGGGCGGTGGCTTTGCCGCGCAAGGCACCGACACCGCCTGGCGCTTCTTCACGGACCCGAACTTCGACTTCCAAAAGGAGGGCCAGGCGTACCAGGCGTCGGGCGCGGCCACTGGCAACGCGTTTGGCGGCCTCTCGCAGGGCATGATGCCCACCGCGCCGGCGGCGGCGGCGCCGGCGGCGGCGACGACAACGGCAGAATCGACGAGTACATGTAGGCGGCGGAGCAAGCGAGATGAAGGGGCAGGGATGGATCCCGGGTGGCGGTATTCGACATCCTTCGGTCGTGAAACCACCGACTATATCTCTGTTGCTTTGGCTACTCGAGTCGTTCCATTTCACTGTGGCACAGCTCGCGTTACAAAACCTTGATTTTGACCATTTGCGCAAAAAGGTACATCTCGGTGCCTTCCAGAGGCAGCTGCGACCCCGCCGAGTAGACGGCGGCACACAGCAGGTGGCGCGGTGTGCCGCCGTCCACTCGGCTGGGTCGCAGCTGCCTCTGCGCGTCCTGGGGATGTACCTTTGTCGCGCGCCGGAGACGACTCGCCGCCGCTGAGATCGGAGATCAAGCTCTGACAGGTCGCACGTCGCTCCTTTGACGCCGACGTGACTCACCCGTGCAGATCACATCAGCCACGGTCTCGACGCGCTCGGTACGA